TTACGGTGAACGTGAAGTTTACACAATGTTATTACGTAAGACAGACGGTCGTGTCACAATACGACCCAGAGCTCGAGGTGCACGCGCACGTGTGTACGTCGTTGGCAATGAATCGGGACATCCGCATCCGTGTCTGTGTCGGGGGACATACGCGAAATATGTTCGCGTGGGTTCGATAAAAATTCGCATGGACCAATAAAACGGTCAACAACACGACGCGTCAGATCTGCACCGCGCAAAATGGAAATTTCCCAAAAAGCCGCTGCGTTTTTTATTTTTGATTTTAGACATTTTAATAATAGGATACCTCCGGACATTTTATTCTGTGCTGTTCAAAGATTTCCAAGTTAAATTATTTAGCTAAAAAGAGGAATCGAACGGCTGAAGAAAGGCGAGTGGAAAATGCGTGAATGTCTTTACGTAATTTTCCTTTTGCTCGAGTTATGCAAATGACTGATAGGTTTACGTAACTGATTAGCGAGTAGAGAAGCCGGTATGCTTTCAAGAGGCATTCAGGAACGAGCTGTTCACATTTTCGCTGGTTGTTAGAAGCAAGCTGCTGCATCAACATAATTTCGTCGCGTTAGATATTTTTGGATCCCTCGGGAAGGCTGGCCTTGAATTCAAAGTATCGAGTTATCGAGCAATTGTGCTCGGTGCTGCGGTGGATTATATAGAGAACGTCTGCAATTTTTTTAAAACGTTCATCAAAACATATTTATACAATTTGACGTGTGGTACCGTATTCTTGGAAAGGTTCTATCTGCGAATTGCTATACAAATATAATGATGGAATCTTTGAGAGCCTTGCCAGTACTGCGCGGCCATAAAACGTTGCATGGAAACTATCGAATCTCGGTAAACTATGCTTCCTGTGGGAGTCCTAAGCCAAACACGTAACAGATAATTAAAGGTTAATAGCCAAAACCAGCTATCGACAGCTAAAAACGACCGCGAATAAGGAAGCAGTATAATGTTACAATTTCACAAGAGGATCGTAAAACGTTTGATCGACGATCGTTCAGTTTGGTTCTTCGTGAAACACTTAACAGCGACGCTCGCGTTTCAGAATCAACATGTAACGCCCCTCCCGGCACGATGTTACAAGAGTAGATATAACAAGAGGCGATGCTCTGACAAAGAGACTATTATTAGAGAGAGACGGAACGAATCAACCAATTAAATCGAAATTCCTATGTGCTTGAAGTGGTGGGAAATGTATCCTCCAAATTGTTTACCATTGCCACAGTGGTAACTTTCAGTTCTACGGATATACCACAATTGTGGACAGAATTATTTACATACTTTATGCGCGTACTTCATAACTCTAATCCTCGCTCGGATTTAGTTTGAACGCAAATACTGAAGCTAAGGCCAAGGCGATAGTTGCAGATATTACACGCGCAGAAAGAAAATTACTCAGAATATTGACCTTCGTAACACACTTCAAGATGGCCGAGATCTTTCGCAGTTACCGATTTCCCACTCGGGAGCGATGTAAATCGCGAAATGAGGAAAAGGACAGACCATAAGAATCGTCTGTTAAACGTTGAAAAACGCAGCTCTCGGAACGAGGTGCACGCGTAACACGAGCCGCAGTGATTGTAGGTCACTTGGTAGCCCGCGTGCGCCCACCCCCGCGACAAAGGCAAGGGTAGTCGAGAGGATGTCGGAGGCTATGGTCAAGGCCCTTGATTCGAATTCGCCTCAAGGACCCCGCGATCCGCCGGCCGGTGTAAAGAGTGGCGTAGTGGCCGCCATAGAACTAGAAATAAATCTTCCGGCAGTGCGTTCTATGCGGTCGCGCGCGCGCACTCGCGCACAGAGGCGTTGCACACGGATATGTATTTCGCGCGCGTGCAGTCAGGGCCACGGTGACCTTAACTAGCGTCCCTCGCCCGCCCACCTGCCCCTCGTGCCCGCGACCCCTCCGCTCACCCCCGCC